TTATTAGGATTATTACTATTTTATCTTATTAAACTGTCTTTATCTCAGCCCTTGGCTCTAACCTTTTATTATCTCCCCGATTCTTTCCCCCATCCCACTGAGGGAGGGGGGCGTGAGCGAGCGGCTGCGTGGTGCTGAGCTGCCAGCCGGGTTAAACCATGACACTGCTGTCATTAACAGGAGGTTCTCATGACACCACACCTGAAAGAGAACGTTCCCTTTACAAATGGCAGCAGCTGTCAGTCTGTCTGGGTTTACTGGGGACCCTGGGGATGTGGGGCCGGCCGGGAGGCTTCCCGCACGCAGAGCTGCAGGGCCCAGTTATATTTGCAGGAATATCTGGGGGGGAGAAGTAGGGGGAGGAAGAGAAAAAGAGACTTTAAAAAGCCGCAGAAATAGGTGAATTCTTAACTCCTGCCTCTAACGCAGCCGCTAATAATCTCTGCTTTAGCAGAGCTGGCTGCTCTTGGGTACCAGCAAGAAGCTGGTTACCGTGCCGGCACCCTGACGGGAGGAGGGCATTTCGCCCGCGGTACTTTCCGAGTTACTTCGTCTCCCACGACCCTCCGCCGCCTGATTTGCTCCCTGCAATTAGCGGATGCCACAGGCCATAACGACCTCTGTGGCCTCTGGCCATTTGATGTCCCTTAAACCCGCCAGGCTCTAAACACGCAAGCTGACATTAAGCTGCGAGTTGCAGTTTGCCTTTATCCCAACGGCTAAACGCAGCCATGCGTCATCGTGTGACTGGGAGCAAAACCACAGGGCGCCGAGAGGCTAACGCCGCCTTTTGATTTGAATGTCTGTTTTTCTTACGTCTCCTGATCTTCAGTTGCGTGCTCCTCTCAAGTCAGGTTGCTGTAGGAAGTGTGGCTCCTGCTAAAGATAACGGGATTTTTTTCCCTGTTTTCTTGACAGAGGAAGCCCGGGGAAGGGGATAAGTGGTGGCTGGGCTGAGATGCGGATGTGACGCCGCCTGTTCAGACAGGAGAAAACAAGAAGGAAGACTGGGAAAAAAATAAATGAAGTTAAT